TGGTTAAGCTCTATTAATTCTCGTTCGGTGAATTGACTCTGACTGGGTTTTTGTTCGATAAACTCTGATTTTTGTCGCTTTGTTTTTAGTTCTACTTCTCTGGTTCCATTTCTTCGTTAAGATGGAGATAGTAGTCATGTATTTACTGAGGATTAGGTTCTTGTACTTGTAAAATTTTAATTGATTGAAGAAACTTGTATGTTTTGTCTACTGATTCCTTGTTTGCCATTTCGTTTCTTAAGCCATGTGATTTTGCTATCATCTAATTACTTTAGTCCTTGTTTTTCAGATGGCAGCTTCATCTGCTTGTCTTGTGGGAAATGGATTGTTGTCAGTACACACAACCAAACAGAGGTTAAGTAAAAGCCTTTCCCGGAGACAGATTGGCCTTTCCTCAAGTATTTCTAGGACATTTAAGGTTAATGTCGTGAAGGCTTCTTTGGATGTGAAGAAAAACGAAGGAAGAAGAGGTTTTCTCCAAATCTTGTTAGGTAACGCTGGAATCGGTTTGCTTGGAAGTGGAAAAGCAAATGCTGATGAACAAGAACAAGGGCAAGGGGTTTCTTCTTCTAGGATGTCATATTCTAGGTTTCTAGAGTATTTGGATAAGGATAGGGTGAATAAAGTTGATTTGTATGAGAATGGTACAATAGCTATTGTGGAAGCTGTTTCGCCCGAGTTGGGTAACCGTGTTCAGCGTGTACGTGTTCAGCTACCCGGATTAAGTCAGGAGCTTCTACAAAAACTGAGGGCCAAGAATATTGATTTTGCAGCACATAATGCACAAGAAGACCAAGGTTCTGTGTTATTTAACTTGCTTGGTAATCTTGCTTTCCCTTTGCTTTTGATTGGTGGTTTGTTCCTTCTCTCAAGACGCTCCTCTGGAGGAATGGGTGGACCTGGTGGTCCTGGAAACCCACTTCAGTTTGGTCAGTCCAAAGCAAAGTTCCAAATGGAACCGAACACTGGTGTAACATTTGATGATGTTGCTGGAGTTGATGAAGCAAAGCAAGATTTCATGGAAGTCGTGGAGTTTCTGAAGAAGCCCGAGAGATTCACTGCGGTTGGTGCCAAGATCCCGAAAGGTGTTCTCCTTATCGGTCCTCCTGGTACAGGGAAAACCCTTTTGGCAAAAGCTATTGCTGGTGAAGCTGGTGTGCCTTTCTTCTCCATCTCCGGTTCTGAGTTTGTTGAGATGTTTGTCGGTGTTGGTGCCTCAAGAGTCCGCGATCTTTTCAAGAAAGCCAAGGAAAACGCTCCGTGCATTGTCTTTGTAGATGAAATTGATGCTGTTGGTAGGCAGAGAGGAACCGGAATTGGTGGAGGTAATGATGAAAGAGAACAGACTCTCAATCAGCTACTAACTGAGATGGATGGATTTGAAGGTAACACCGGGGTTATCGTAGTTGCTGCAACCAACAGAGTAGACATTCTTGACTCTGCTTTGTTGAGGCCAGGACGGTTTGACCGGCAGGTATTATATGATTAATACCCATTGATTTATTTTGTAACCCTATACTACTCCTAGAGCTGGTGCTTAGATCTGAGTTTCTGACGCAGGTAAGTGTC